TGTGTATACTAGCTTAAAATGCTTGTTTCCCAGTAGCTTTGTCTGCAGGGTCAACTTTAGGCTTAAATTATAGCATAGCTATGATTTAATTTTGTAGTATATCAGGCACTTCCCATTATAGGAATGTTTCTACATGCAGGCAAATGGTAATCTTAGCTTTTTTCTTCTGAGGCAGAAGTATGAATTTATGACAGTTTGTAATCTCGTCGGTATTCCTCATGATTTTTAGGATCTTTTTTTATGTCTTTGTAAAATACTTGCCAGAAATATGTATATACCTCTAATAAACTTAGCCTTCTGTGTTTTGAACTTTACAGATAAGCTACTCGGTTATTTTATGCCTATGTTTTTGAAGTTAGATAAATTCAAAATTTAGCATCTTAAATGTTTGAAGACATTTTTTGAGGGTCTTATATTATTTCAATAACCAGACAAACTTGCTGAGACACAGCATGACAAGGAGGCTTTAGGTGACCTTTTGAGAAACCAGTTGTTCTCCAACATTTGACTCTTGGAAATGACAAAAGTTGAAGTGAATCAACCAAGTAAACTTTTATTTAGCCACAGATGATACACATGGAATGTGATAAGCTCGGAATTATTTATAAAGACATTAAAAGGTGGGTTTATGTAGTATATTTCCATCATAATATATGAAGTTAACTGTCGAGATAGCCAGCTCTGCGAGCCATATTTTTCCTATTAAGTCAGGACCCACTATTGTGACCTCTGAAATCAATTTGGCTGGCCAGAGGCTCTGAGCACTGTTTATCACACTGAGCAAATAGATCTAAGGACTACAACGCATATATTTATGTTAACTTTTAACCAACACAGAGAATGAATAAGCTCTTCCATTGGACCTCTCTGTAAATTTCATAAGTAATGAGGACCAAATGTGAGAGAGGGGTTGTGCAGTCCAAACATATGGCATAAACTACCACATGTAGTGTAATAAGGTCGAAACCTAACTTGCGTGGTGCTTAGAGAATTCAACCCCCCAGGAAGACAGCATCAAATGAAGTGAGTGGAAATTGCAACTGTTTTGTTTGTTTTCTCCTATTTTAGACTGAAAACGCAATGCAATTTAATTCAAAAGCCATTCCACTGACCTCAGAGCTGGGGCGTGAAGAGGTCAAATGACTTCCCCTAGTCAAACAGGATGCATGTGGCGTTAGCCATGAATAGATTCCAAAGTACTGGTCCCATGTCATAACTGTAAGGCCATTCTTAGTGTGACAAAAGCTGTTCTATTTTAAGCAGATCAAATTGTTTGTCCAACTTGTCATTATGGCTCAAATTTATGAATTGCTGTTGTAGTAGCAGAGAAAGCAAGCTCTACGTACTTGTAATAAGAAGCTATGAATATGTCACTTGAGATGCAATTCTGTAATTCCCTGCTGAAATTCAGAGAAAGATAGCTCATATAGCACATGGTGAAAGACTCTTCACAGCAGTTCCGTGGCTTTGTGTCTTAGAAATATTTCGTAATGATCTGTATTTCTTGGTAATTCTGTTTTCTGTCCCAGGATTTAAAAGGTACCAGGACCAAGTGCTGGTCTGTGATATTCCTCTGAAGTAACTTCATAATTAACTCCTGTTTTACAGAAGGGGACAGGAAATGAAACATCCTGGTCAAACATTCTGGAACCTATTTGCTTAAAATTAAGCAACTGTATTCATAATTAAGCAACTGAATCAAGGAGGCTCAGTTTTCAGAGCTGCTTGTGACCTCAGCAAACAGGAACAGGCTTGGGTCAAACAACTGCTCAGTGTTTACTATTTAAAAAAAAAGAAAGAAAACGGCAGGATGAAGTCTAAATGTGTTATATTCATCCACATGCAGTACAAGACTGTTCTGTAACCTGTGGCTGCCCCCAGGTACTATTGGCAGGCCTCTGACCACACATTCCTGTTTATTGAAAAGTACTTTCCTTGCTCTGGCTCCTTCTCACAACCCTGGACAGGCAGGGACTGATCCAGTGAACTGCACTGAACCTCCCTTACCCTTTCTAGCAGCTGGCCTGAAAGCCAGGTGGAAACTGTTAGCAAAAAGTCTTGTTTTCTCTGCTGAGCCTTTGCAAACAGGTTCATGAGAGGCTTTTCCAGCCTGGAAATTAGGCAGTTTATCAAAGATCATACAGGAAATCAGTGACAGCATAAGGAGTAATATTAGATTTCTTCACTTTCGAGACCTGGACTTGAACTGCAAGACAGTTCTGACTCTAAAGTTTATTAATAAATAAAAACCCTCAGCAAACGCATGTATATGAGGCTGCATATGTTTCAAGAACACAAAGAAATATCCCTTCTGAATGATGATTAACAGTTATCCCAGAAGAAAAAATCTGGGTCCTTAGTGATGTTAGCCAGCATAGTTCCACTGACAATCCCTTACTGCTTACCTTTTTCAGAGCAGGGCTTAACCAAGTGCTTCATATATGTGGATGCCAGAGGTAAAAGTGTCTAGGCTTTGCAGAGGTAATTTTAAGTCTTTTTCTGAGCCCTAGCCATAGAGTCTAGTTTCAGCATCTGCACTGGGAGCAATTGTAAGCAATGTTCCTCCTGTTTTTTTCCCCCACACTGATAAAGAGTTACTGCATGGGAAGAGTAGGAGTTGGAGATAAGGAAAAATGCAAGCTTTGAGAAAAAATTGCGTTCTAAAGGTGCGCTCTTTCAGTTGAGGAGTTTTAAACTACAGGAGGCTTGGTAAATATTTGGTATTTATTTAGGTGCGTTTTCTTTCTCCTGCTATACATCATGTTTGAAATTCTAAATATATAATCAACATTGTTGGGCAGTAGGCAAATATTTGTTATTGTCATTAGGGGTTTTTATTAGTACCATTAGGAAAAACAGGAGTTTGGGAGGAAATATTAGAATCCAAGTATTGTTGTGTTGTAGTAGCTCTTGAGACACTTAAAAGCAAAATTAATTAGAGACTGGAATACAGGATTGTAATCAACAAGAGTCTAAAAATATTTTTTTTTTTTGTTATTTAATTGCATCATTCAATTTGAAGGTATTGTTCTGTATATAGGTAGAGACGCTTAAAAATCCAGTTATTAACCTGATTGTCCTGTAAAACTGCCCAAATGTAATGTTGTTGCAGATGTTAGTGGTACTGTGCTTTGTTTATGCTATTTCTCAGCAGCTGTTAAGATATTTGAAAAAATTACTCAGATGGGTGGTACTGGTATTTAGTGCAGAATCTACCCTCCAGAGGCATGTAATTACATGAATGCAGCCCAGTACGTATCATTTTATCAGGACAGCAACCAAATAACATTCCTTCAGCCTGATGAAAATTATGAAAGGCAAATGTTATCATAGCCTCTTGACAGAACAGGCTGTATTGACTCTTACTACGTATTTTTATTTAATTAAGAGATATAAAATTACACAACTTTCTCCCCCCTCTCCATCCTTGCCTATCCATCTACGAATGAGAAATCTAATCCTGCTAATGTGTGTGCACATGCGTAGCTTCACTTGCAGGAGTAATCCTTTCCAAGTAAGCGAGCTACTCTTGGAGGAAAGGTATGTACATAAATACAAACTTTCAGATGTGTTTCTGCAGGCAGCGTACTCCGGAGATCCCTCTCCAGTTGTCCTTAGCATGCTAAAATCAGTGGAATTGCAGGAATGCAGGGCTGAGTTCCAAAAGCGGGGGGATGAATTTCAGCTTCTGAATGGAGCTAGTGCCCAGCAAAGTACCGGTGACCTCATCTGTAGTATAATGGGCTGGTCCTGTCCTTATCTCAGGGACAGGTTTGTAGTGCAGCTGAGTCCAGACAGACGATACAGCTTTAAATGGTAGCAGAATTTAGCAGAATATTTGTTTTGACCATTGCAGATACTTCTGTAAGACTGTGGCCATCTGTGGTGTGTTGGAATGAACACGTGAAGTCTGAGTACTTTGTCCTGTTCAACCTCCGTTTGCTATTTATTTTCCCATTAATTTCTTTTTTTCTGGGTTTTTCGCTTGGTTTTTATTCCCTCCTTCCTTTCCCCCTCTGCCCCCCTTCTCTTCCTCCCACACTCTTCCTTTGGAGTTTTACAAGGAAATTCCTATATGAAATACCATGTTGTACTTGTAAGTTCCAGAAGCTTTTGCAACAGAAGAAAACAGACGATCTGTCTGTGGGATCTGTCTTAAAAAAAGCCCAAGAAACCAGACAGGCATATTCTCATCTATAGCTCTTACAGTGTGTCTTATTCTCATGGGAAGCTTTATTTTTCTTTCATCTCTTACTTGTTTCTCAGCTCACTAGCAGAAAAATTACCACAGTTATATGTGTTGTCCCTGAAATATGTTCTATATGTTTAGTTCTCTACCTCCTTTGCTGTGTTATGGAAATCTAATGCATTGAATGTATCTGAAAATCAGCATTCCTTTATACAAAGCTAGATACGTGATGCAGAGGAATAAATCCATGAACTTTCAATTGCTGGAGCAATGAAATGACTGTCTACAATTTTGTGAACTGTAATTTGAGGTGTGTGTGGGTAGTAATTTTATAAGAAATAGCTTCCTGACATTTTAACTGCACTTTTTTGCCTACATTTGCTTGGTGCTTCTCTGGTTTCTGACAGATATAATCCCTAAACTTGCTTCAAAGAGGAACAGAACAGTGAAATACAAAATCCAACTAGAAAAGAATAGAAAAATCACACTTAAGTGAAACTTTGCATTTGGTCTCCCAGGTATTTATCAGTGATACTGTGCTCAGTGCTCTGTGTTAAGAAATAAATGCAAGGAAGACAGTTCCTGAAGATTTCAGGTGTTGTCTTGATTCGAGCATTTCTATAAATGCCTGTAATCAAAATACTCCACAAGCTTTGTGCTAGGAAGTGACAGCTAAGAAGTGATAGACGTGAAACTTAAGTCAATGTTTGGGGTTTTTTTAGGACCAAGAACCTAAAGGAATCGCAGGTTACTATTTTGCAGGGCAGTAAAACACTTCCCTTTTGACTGTTCCATTTATTTTCTTCCCTAGAAAGCAACTCTGCAACATGACATTTGAAGATTTTGAGAACTACTCGTACTTCTATGACCTGTCTGAGGAAGATGAATCACCCCAGTCCTCCCTCAGCATTGCCCACATAATTTCCCTTTCCTTGTACAGTGTGGCATTTCTGCTGGGAGTGCCAGGTAATGCCATCGTCATCTGGTTTATGGGCTTTAAGTGGGATAAATCTGTCTCTACACTCTGGTTCCTCAATCTGGCCATTGCAGATTTCATTTTTGTTCTCTTCTTGCCCCTCTATATTACGTATGTGGCAATGGGCTTCCACTGGCCTTTTGGGAAGTGGCTCTGCAAAATGAACTCATTCATTGCACTACTTAATATGTTTGCTAGTGTTTTCTTCCTGACATTCATCAGCCTTGACCGCTACATCCGCCTTGTCCATCCAGTCTTTTCCTACAAGTATCGGACTGTACGGAACACTCTCATTCTTAGTGGGATCATTTGGATGTCAGCTGCAATTATTGGTGGCCCTGCCTTATACTTTAGAGACACGGTTACAGTCCTCAACAATGTCACCATTTGCTACAACAACTTCCATGTGCATAACAGAGAACTTATTTTGCTGACGCATCACATTCTCATTTGGGTGAGGCTTGCATTTGGTTACCTCTTTCCTCTAGTGACCATGGTCATTTGCTACTCATTGCTGATTGTCAAAGTGAAGAGGAGAACTGTATTGACTTCCAGCAGGCTTTTCTGGACCATCATTGCTGTAGTTGTAGCTTTTTTTGTTTGCTGGACACCATATCACATATTCAGCATCGTGGAGCTGTCAGCTCACCATGATGAAAACTTGCATGACTTACTGCAGGATGGCATTCCCCTCTCCACCAGCCTTGGCTTCATCAACAGTTGCCTCAATCCAATCCTTTATGTTCTGATTAGCAAAAAGTTCCAGGCTGAGGTCAAGACTACGGTCTCTGAGGTGCTGAAGTTGGCACTGTGGGAGGTGAGCCGCTCTGGAACTGTCAGTGAGCCGCTGTGGAGCTCGGACAACACCCATGCGCCTGTGCACTATTGTGAAACTGCCCAGTGACTGCTCCTGTCACCATCCCTCTCCAAAACAGCCGTCAGGAGATTTGGAGGTGTTCTTGACTTTGCATCTGTCAGTCAGATGTGCATCTTTGCATCTACAGTTGTATGTAAACACCTGGCTTCATTGCACTCGCTGCTCTCCTTGAAAAGGTTAGAAAGGATGCATCATTTGGGTGTGGTGAACTTGCAGTGCACACACAGCCTGAACTGAAAGTTGTTAGCATAAGTGGAATTGCTCCAACTGGATTTTTTGATCAGGAATGCTGTTGTAATTCTGTTGTTGTGTTGTGGTTCCATACCTCGTTGATATCAAAAGAGCACATAATAAAAATGTTCCTCCTTGCCATCACTGATGATGCTCTTGATCAAGCATTCTCATCCAAGAGGGCATGGCCATACATCAGTGGCTCGAGTTTCCTGATTGATTGTCTAGTATTGCCTTAAGTAGGAATCACCTGACTACATCCCAGCTAAGTGAAACTATTGGTGGCTCTACTCCACAGCTGGAGAAGAATCCTGAGACAGAGAAGAAAAACTCTTTTCTCCCAGCACTCTTTATGTTATACTCTAACACAGGAGATTCTGTGTTTTCTGGTCACTTGTTCTTATACTTCTAGGGCCAGTTGGATGCAAAATAGTGAGTAGATGTTTCATCTAGGTTTTAGGATCATTTGAAATGTGCAAAGAATTAGTGGAAATGTTTCTTACAGAAGCTGAGATTAAAGACTCTGTGCCACACTTCTTCATTTTCTGTTTAAACTTTCAGGCTTAAAGTGGTTTACAACTGTCAGTTCTTTATTGCTCTGTCAAACAAAGGTGAAGAAATGTTATATCATTTTGTTTGCCTTAATGCCAGTCTTCAAAAAATGGGCAGGGTGATTTCAACAATATTCTGTAACAAGTCTGCAGCCAAATTTGGACTTCTTTCTAAATGAGAGGCAAATGGAAATGGAGCCCACTTCACTAAGAAAGCTACACTGTGTTCTGTTCCAACTTGTTGCTTGCTGTAGAATCACACGTGCACTGATGCAAATGTATATGCTAAGTGGAGAGGACCAATTTCTGATGAAATACCACTTTTTAATTAAAGAGTTGAATGTGGGATAAAACTCCACTAAAAGTAAAAACATAAAGGTTTGAATTGAAATTCAATTGAAACTGGTTTTTCCTTGGTGGAAAAAAGGAAAGGAATTGTTATTGGCTTAGGTACATACAATAAAACTGCCTTTCAGATAATCTACCTAGTTTCTATGGTCTGACAACACATGTAAGTAGCATTTATACTGCAACTGAGGCCTTATATGTAAATATATTTGCTTTTGTATAACATATGTACATCTGCATGCATAAGCACATCCAGCACTGGTACCTGTACAAATACAAATAGTCTGTCTATGGCCTGAAACTCTTTCTTTGAGCTTTGCTTTCAGGGAGTTTGGAAGTCAGGCAGGATCAGTGGAATTTCAGTGTATTTCATTTGGGGCTGGAAAGCTGGTAAGCAGCACCATTCCGTTGAGTCATTTGCTGCCTGGTACATAGTGACTCATCATAGTATTTGGCACTGTGCTGCTGAATGTGCCAAAATCAAACATTTCACTGTTTTCCTTCACATGTTCCCTGACATACTCCTAAGAGCAATGCAGTAGTACCACTCTCCTGACTGTACTCCAAGTGAAGTAATAAAATAATGTTTCCAGAGAATGTGGTCATTTGCTTTTCTCGGCAGCAATATGCAGTGACTTTCCATTAGAGGACCTCCTACTCAAAGATCTTGGAAGATGAAGGCAAGCCCTGACCCTTCCTACTACAGGAATAAGGTTTATATCAGCTTTCCTCCTGCATGTCAGCTATGTGAGCACACATACTGCTGTACAGTAAAGAGATTGATTTTCAAATGGGGGAAACAGACTTATGCTGTCTTACATAATTTATCAGAAAGCCTCCCCTGAAGTAGAGAACAGAGATACCAAACAGAATATGGCCAAAGTCAGCCCTGGCCTATGCAATTAAGTGGATTAATAATTTTGCAATATAATTACTACCTTATTCACACCAAGATCAGCTACAGAATTGTCTCCAAATGTTTTCTGCAAGAGTAATGGAAGATACCCCAACAAAACTGATAATGCTTTAAGTTTCTGTTTCCAAAGAGAATCTAAAACAATACCAACAGTTCTCTGCCGCTTGGACTAAGGAGCACTCGTTCAACTCAACACAATGGAAAAAGCAGCTCGAGGAAGGGGATTTATCTTACCATGCTATAAGCTACTGTAGAAAAAACACTTCATAGGAAATAGCTCTGTGATCAACCATTCATTCAAGAATAATACCTACTGGCATGCTTCATAATAGACAGGTTCTGGTTACTTGCTGTTACCTGCTTCCTGAGCAGTTTGTACTTGTGAAGGTTGTTATGTAGATCAGTTTGTAACCATTACTTTTGTTGAAGCTGTTTTCCCAGTATTCCTGTGTATCACATATTTAAATTACAGACCTTTCTGCTGGTCTTTCTGTTAAGACACTTGAGATAGAAGTGTCTCATTTACTCTAAGATGCTGATTTTTCACAGGCACAATGACACACCAACACATACCCAAATACTACATAACATAAAGATATGTTGATTCTGTGGCGTTCTCTTGCCCTATATCTTTTTCAACTGCAGAGACTGTGCTTTTTAGCTTGTCTTGTTCCTGTGCAGCAAGTTGCCTTCTAAGATCAAGGAAAAGAATCCCACAAATGACATCCCAACAACTGAGGAGTTTATACATGCATGCTTAGCCTATCATATACACACACAGGGGAATCCAGCCTGGCAGGTCAGATGGATGGCTCACAGGGCTGTATTTAAACAAAGTTAGCCTATGAACCAAACCATTTTATCTACCTGAAACTTTAATTTCAATGTCAAGGAAAGAGTTTAAAGGTAAGAAGCATGTTGGATGGGAGGTCAGAAACAGTAATGGCCAAGGACAATAAAAATTGTATTTTTATGGCAGAATTTTTTTTTTTTGTGGCATTTGCTGATTTCTTGCTTTTAACAGCACCAGGAAAGAACTGATAAAACTGAGCTACCTGATGTAGAAGCAGCAGCTAGGGCACTGTACGTTATTACACATGGGATGAAGCCAGTCCTTTAAGAGTTAAGTTTATGGGAGGTGGGACTGAAGCGTGTAATTATACTTACTTTCAATTGTTGAATAATACTTTAAACCTCTAGGAGGCAGATTTTTTTTTCTCTGAGACAAATTATAAAACAAAGCTCTTGCATAATGTGAAGCTGGCAGACATTCAGACAGGAGAAACAGGACCTGCTGTCCTAGATAACCATACACACATGCTCTGTGAAACAGAGCAAAAACTTATCTTAGCTGCTGCTCTCAGGCTTCAGCACTGAGTGACCAACGTGGCATGTAAAAGGCTTCCATTTCAGGGTCACAATTTCTGAGTCCAACAGAAGGCCTAGAAATGTGATTTTATTTATAAGCTTCACAACCTTGACAGCCTTTACATTTGTATCATTCCCATGGATAAGGAATGGAGAACAGTTCTGATAGGTTCTTCAAGCTTTAAAAAAAAAAAAGTCAAAAATCAATCTAGAAACCAATCTGGAGTGAAGCAAGAAGCTCAAGCTGGTGTTAGTTACACTACTTTATCTTTGCATTTTAATTGAACATTTGTTTTTTTGTTGGTTTTAGTCTGGAGCATGCTTTGCTTGTTAGACCCATCTGCATGAGCTGCAGCCTCAGTCACTGCAGGCTGTTCATCCTCGCACTGCCCTGCAGAAGAGCTGGTGCCCGGGGTCCTGTTGGAAGGTGCATGCTGCCCTCTAGTCGCCTTTGAGTTGCAGTGCCTTTCGAGAAGCACAACCCCACTCCCAAGCTAACCAGGGCTTGCCTCGGCTATTTTAAGGTGCGGGATGCACAAGGACCTTGGGATACGAATCAAAGTAGGAGTTTTTACCAGCCCCATTCTTTGCTGTACTAATTAAGAAGCCCCGGAAAAGATGGAAAGTTTACAGTACTTTCACTGCAAATGTTTTCAGACATCAGAGAAAAAGAGGTCCAAGTCCACACCATAGGAGATATAAGGCACCATGCTGGTCTCCAGTCCAATAGCGTTTCACTACGTGCCTTAGCATCATTAGCACACAGCAGTGGCTTTTAACTTGCCTTCACTTCCATTCCCCTCAGTGAAGCTAAGTTTTAGCTTTCAACAAAAGCCACAGTGTATTTGGTTAGTCACCAACTCTAGCAGGCAAAAAGAATTCATACTACTGTTCTTATCTGTTAAATTACCTGCACTTTGCCAGAGCCCTTTTCCCCTTGAAACCATCCCTTCTTCCAGAGGAATTACAGAAATGTCTACAGATGCAGCTTCCCCCAAGAGCAGTTCAGATTTCTCAAGCCAAGTAGATGTTAAACCTGGACTGACTGTATAAATTTTCTCTTTCTCTGGCTCATGCTCTTGGGTACTACAGTGGGATGTTGGAGCAACCCTGAAATTCAGTGTTAGCTTCTACTTTACCCCTCAACTAAATTTTTAAGGGTTTGACCACACGATGATTTTGAATTAACCACAGACAAGACCCCATTTTTGCAATTGCATTTATTCTAGCTCAAGACTCAAATCTTATTGAAAGCAGCTACATCCATTGATTGTACGTAATCTTCAAAAGCTGTTATTCTCTCTTCCAGCATATCTGTTCCAACTTTATCATCTTCAACAACGCACTGGATCTGAAGCTTTTTGATACCATAGCCAACTGGTACCAGCTTGGCTGCAAAAACAAAGGAAGAAAAAAAATAGCATTGGTACTCTTTGATTGGTGAGATCTCTTAAAAATGCAGATCTAAGATCGAACTGAGCAAGTCTGTAGAAATACATAAACAGCATAATTTGCTCCAGATTATAAAATACATCATTAACACCACAGCATGCACAAAGTGGTTCGAAAAGGGTTTCTTTTTGTGGGTGTCCCCCGACCAAACCAGTGATGTGTGTGAATGGGTGTCTGCTTGCTGCATTAGGTACCATACAGGGAGCTGCAGGATAGCAGAGCCAGTTTTAAAGCTTCTGAAACCTGCATCTGGATCTTAACCTGGCTGCTGCACTAATACACCTCTTTGACTATGTCAAGATACAACACAGGAATGCAATTCCTGCACTGTTGCAGCTACCTACATTTTAACAG